GAGAGAGAGAGAGAGAGAGAGAGAGAGAGAGAGAGAGAGAGAACACCTATATGTGTGTGTGTGTGTGTGTGTGCGAGCACGCTGCCCCCGCGCGCTGGCCCCGCTGCGCCAGCTGGTGTGTGTGTGTGTGTGCGTGCACCCTTGGTCGTGGGGGTGGGGCGACCCCTCCCCCACCAAGCAACCAATCAATCAATCAATCAATCAATCAATCAATCAATCAATCAATCAAAGGTGGGGCGGGGCGACCCCGCCCCCACCAATCAATCAATTAATCAATCAATCAATCAATCAATTAGTCAATCAATCAATCAACGAAAAAAATAAAAAGTAAAAAAAAATCGCGTTTTATTTTTTTTTCCAATTTCGTTGTATTTCGCCCATACCCCCCCACCAAAAGTTCATCTTTTTCGTTTTTTTTTTTTTGTGGAGGGGGGTGGGGCAGGGGATGCGCCGCCACGTGGTGCGCCAGAATGGCGAAATCCCCTACCCTGCGGCCGCCACGTGTCCGCCAATCCGCGCGGACACGTCCGCGGGCTTTGCGGACTGACCGCGGCTGCGGACTTGGCCGCGCCTGTCCGCCGCCGGGGGGGATACATAGCAATCAATCAATCAATTAATCAATCAACCAATCTCACCGAACCTCCCTCCCGAAAGCTCGAAAGACAGGAGCACGACAACACTTCACTAAAAATGACGGACAACAACAACAGCAGCAACAAAAACCAATCAATCAATCAATCAATCTTCCCGAACCTCCCATCTCCCCATCTTTCCCTCTTCCCCCCTATCTCCGCAAGCCTCCCACCCTCCCTTGTCTCCTCGAACGTCGTTCCTCCCGCTGCGCGCCTTCCCCATTCCCTCCCCGAATGTCCTCCCAGACCTCCTTGGCCCTCGTGCCGAACCTCAACCCGAACCTCAGTCCTAACACGACGCATCTTCCCCGAACCTCCCCGAACCTCCTCCCAGACCTCCCCCCCCCCCTCTCAAAGTTCGAAAGATATGAGCACGATAACAGTTCACTACAAAAAGACCGACAACAACAATAATCAATCAATCAATCAATCAATCAATCAATCAATCAATCAATCAATCAATCAATCAATCAATCAATCTCCCCGAACCTCCCTTCCCTCCATGTTTCCCTCTTCCCCCCAATCTCCCCGAGCCTCCCACCCTCCCTTGTCTTCCCGAACGTCGTTCCTCCCGCTGCGCGCCTTCCCCCTTCCCTCCCCGAATGTCCTCCCGGACCTCCCCGGCCCTCGTGCCGAACCTCGTCCCGAACCTCAGTCCTAACACCATGCGTCTTCCCCCTCCCTCCCCGAACCTCCTCCCAGACCTCCCCCCCCCTCCCCCCGAAAGTTCGAAAGA